ATCCTCGACCTTTTGAATGTACCGATTGTAAAATCGCTTTTCGCATACATGGCCATTTGGCCAAACATTTGCGCTCAAAAACTCATGTACAGAAATTGGAATGTTTACAGAAATTGCCTTTTGGTACTTATGCTGAGATCGAAAGAGCCGGCATTAGTTTGACCGAAATCGATACTAGTGATTGTGAGAATTCTTTGATTTCTTTAAGAGTTTTGGCTCAAAAACTAATCGAAAAAGATCCCACTTCCAAATTGGGCAGCTATACCACACCCTCGGGCGATAACTCCAATACTGGCCTGGTATCACAAGACAGTGCCTCTGAAGATGGCTTTACCGCTGCCGAAAGAGCGGCCGCTACAGCTATAGCTTCGCTGGATAACAATAGTGCTGCCAATACCCCAAGAAGAGCTAATTCCACTTCAGAAGATGAAAGTATAGCCATGGCTTTAAATAATAACTTAAAAAGACGTTTACCGGGTACCTTTAGTAATGGTGAGGAGAGTGATAAAGAGTTTCAGGAGCAACAGGAAAAACGTTTACGTCCCGAGGGTCTTATCAATAATACTCACCTTAATACAGCCAGTCCCACAAACTGACATTATATCTTTGCCTATCCCGATAGATGAATTATGCATATGTTGTCGCAGCCCCCAACACCTATAACGCTTATAAGGGACAGATCATATACAAATTATCTGCAATATAAAGCCCCACCGTTTAAAAAACATTAAATATGAAAAAGATCATAAGAAGTTTTTTTTTTTGGAAACCAGCTAAAACTTGTGATACTTCAACAAAAAAAATCCCCTCAGGACCAAAACTACCTAAACAAACAGATGAGTTAAACACTTTCATCATATCTAGCCCCTTTTTAGAAAACACATATCTTGTACGGAATACTAAAAAAATTAACATATTTAAGCTAAAAGCTAATTTTCTGTTTAAAAGTTTAAACTTTAACAGATTCCGTTAAGTATACAAGTTTTTAGCTGGTGTTCTGATTACACAGATCAACAAATTTGAAAATATAATCGAAACCCAGAGATTGAGCTGCTCTGATTCTGTATCTGGATTTAGAATTTATATATTACATCAGATTTTCGAGATATTTTGGCCATATTTGCGACGCTATAACACATCTGAAAGCCAAATCTGTGGACTTTAAAATAAAGTTCTGTTCTGGTTCTAGTTCAGTTCTGGTTCAGTTCTAGTTCAGTTCTAGTTCTAGTTCAGTTCTAGTTCAGTTCTAGTTCAGTTCTAGTTCAGTTCTAGTTCAGTTCTAGTTCAGTTCTAGTTCAGTTCTAGTTCAGTTCTAGTTCAGTTCTAGTTCAGTTCTAGTTCAGTTCTAGTTCAGTTCTAATTCAGTTCTAGTTCAGTTCTAGTTCAGTTCTAGTTCAGTTCTAGTTCTAGTTCAGTTCTAGTTCAGTTCTAGTTCAGTTCTAGTTCAGTTCTAGTTCAGTTCTAGTTCAGTTCTAGTTCAGTTCTAGTTCAGTTCTAGTTCAGTTCTAGTTCAGTTCTAGTTCAGTTCTAGTTCAGTTCTAGTTCGGTTCTAGTTCAGTTCTAGTTCAGTTCTAGTTCAGTTCTAGTTCAGTTCTAGTTCAGTTCTAGTTCAGTTCTAGTTCAGTTCTAGTTCAGTTCTAGTTCACTTCTAGTTCAGTTCTAGTTCAGTTCTAGTTCAGTTCTAGTTCAGTTCTAGTTCACTTCTAGTTCAGTTCTAGTTCAGTTCTAGTTCAGTTCTAGTTCAGTTCTAGTTCAGTTCTAGTTCAGTTCTAGTTCAGTTCTAGTTCAGTTCTAGTTCAGATCTAGTTCAGTTCTAATTCAGTTCTAGTTCAGTTCTAGTTCAGTTCTAGTTCAGTTCTAGTTCAGTTCTAGTTCAGTTCTAGTTCAGTTCTAGTTCAGTTCTAGTTCAGTTCTAGTTCAGTTCTAGTTCAGTTCTAGTTCAGTTCTAGTTCAGTTCTAGTTCAGTTCTAGTTCAGTTCTAGTTCAGTTCTAGTTCAGTTCTAGTTCAGTTCTAGTTCAGTTCTAGTTCAGTTCTAGTTCAGTTCTAGTTCAGTTCTAGTTCAGTTCTAGTTCAGTTCTAGTTCAGTTCTTGTTCAGTTCTAGTTCAGTTCTAGTTCAGTTCTAGTTCAGTTCTATTTCAGTTCTAGTTCAGTTCTAGTTCAGTTCTAGTTCAGTTCTAGTTCAGTTCTACTTCAGTTCTAGTTCAGTACTAGTTCAGTACTAGTTCAGTTCTAGTTCAGTTCTAGTTCAGTTCTAGTTCAGTTCTAGTTCAGTTCTAGTTCAGTTCTAGTTCAGTTCTAGTTCACTTCTAGTTCAGTTCTAGTTCAGTTCTAGTTCAGTACTAGTTCAGTTCTAGTTCAGTTCTAGTTCTAGTTCAGTTCTAGTTCAGTTCTAGTTCAGTTCTAGTTCAGTTCTAGTTCAGTTCTAGTTCAGTTCTAGTTCAGTTCTAGTTCAGTTCTAGTTCAGTTCTAGTTCAGTTCTAGTTCAGTTCTAGTTCAGTTCTAGTTCAGTTCTAGTTCAGTTCTAGTTCAGTTCTAGTTCAGTTCTAGTTCAGTTCTAGTTCAGTTCTAGTTCAGTTCTAGTTCAGTTCTAGTTCAGTTCTAGTTCAGTTTAGTTCAGTTCTAGTTCAGTTCTAGTTCAGTTCTAGTTCAGTTCTAGTTCAGTTCTAGTTCAGTTCTAGTTCAGTTCTAGTTCAGTTCTAGTTCAGTTCTAGTTCAGTTCTAGTTCAGTTCTAGTTCAGTTCTAGTTCAGTTCTAGTTCAGTTCTAGTTCAGTTCTAGTTCAGTTCTAGTTCAGTTCTAGTTCAGTTCTAGTTCAGTTCGTTAGTTTCAGTTCTAGTTCAGTTCTAGTTCAGTTCTAGTTCAGTTCTAGTTCAGTTCTAGTTCAGTTCTAGTTCAGTTCTAGTTCAGTTCTAGTTCAGTTCTACTTCAGTTCTAGTCAGTACTAGTTCAGTACTAGTTCAGTACTAGTTCAGTTCTAGTTCAGTTCTAGTTCAGTTCTAGTTCAGTTCTAGTTCAGTTCTAGTTCAGTTCTAGTTCAGTTCTAGTTCAGTTCTAGTTCAGTTCTAGTTCAGTTCTAGTTCAGTTCTAGTTCAGTTCTAGTTCAGTTCTAGTTCAGTTCTAGTTCAGTTCTAGTTCAGTTCTAGTTCAGTTCTATTTCAGTTCTAGTTCAGTTCTAGTTCAGTTCTAGTTCAGTTCTACTTCAGTTCTAGTTCAGTACTAGTTCAGTACTAGTTCAGTACTAGTTCAGTTCTAGTTCAGTTCTAGTTCAGTTCTAGTTCAGTTCTAGTTCAGTTCTAGTTCACTTCTAGTTCAGTTCTAGTTCAGTTCTAGTACTAGTTCAGTTCTAGTTCAGTTCTAGTTCTAGTTCAGTTCTAGTTCAGTTCTAGTTCAGTTCTAGTTCAGTTCTAGTTCAGTTCTAGTTCAGTTCTAGTTCAGTACTACTTCAGTTCTAGTTCAGTTCTAATTCAGTTCTAGTTCAGTTCTAGTTCAGTACTAGTTCAGTTCTAGTTCAGTTCTAGTCCAGTTCTAGTTCAGTTCTAGTTCAGTTCTTGTACTGTTCGAGTTCTTCTAGTTCAGTTCACATAACAAATTGTATGACTAAAGGTGTCATCGCGCGGTTATAACCTCACAAATATGACCAAAAAAACGGGGTTTCTTTCAAACTTTATGACACGATATCTCAAAAAGCTAAAGTGATGGATAAATTCTGAGGCCACATTCGTATTCAGCGCTGCTCCTTTGGTCTCTGGCTTAAAAATTGTTGAGCTGTGTTATTTATTTGAAATACATACATAACTATAACAAAAAATATCAATCTATTAAAACATATACAATCTTTAAATGAACCAAAAACAAGAAAAACACACAAGAATACTTTATACATACAGACAAAAATGATATCATTTTGTAAAGTAAATAGTAAAAAGAAATAAATTATATACAAAAAATATATATTTTATAACTATAACTATTGTACATACATAAGAATAATAATAATAATTTTATAAATAATGAAAATTATATTATTAAAAAAAGGTTTAGGTTGAAGGCCAAAGGTTATTTAGAGATTTTTAAATATATTATAAATTCTAATTTTTAGGCCTAAACTAAACGCAATCTTTAAACCATTTTAATTTAACAACAATTTATTTTTCTAGTATAAAAACACTGTGGTACTGTTTTTTTTTTTATAAATTTAAAAGCTATTTTTATAAACAAAAAGTTTCGAATCTAAAAGTTTTGAAACCAAAAGAAAAGAAATTTGTTATAAAAATTAAAAAAAAACAAAAAAATTCTAGTTAATAATCAAAGTTCTTCCTGGGTTTTTAAAAAATTCTTAATTTTTTTTTTTTGTTAAATTCATATTATTTTTTTTTAATTTTACAAAAAAATCAATTGTTTTTATTATAACAATAATGTTAAGTAATCCAACGAGACTACGAGACTCTTTAATTAATAAATTTTTGTAATTTTAGTAAATTTAATTTTATATTAATAATTTGTTTTAAAACCTAAGTTAAGCTTTTGTATTTAGAAAAAAAAAGAAATACTTTTCTAGTTGTAAATAAACTAATTAATGTACAAAATCAAAAAAAAAAAAAAATAATAATAAATTTTTTATTATAAAACTAGACTCATATAAATGTCAAACAAAGTTTATAAAAAAACTTAACACAAAAAAAAAAACAAATTTAATAAAATGTCATAGAAACTATAGTTTTTTAAGTTTATTCAATAAATTTATTAACAAAATCTATAACTATATATTGTATATATAAAAATTAAACTAAAAAAAACAAACAAAATTATATTTAATATAAATGTATATCTTCTTACTTATAAATCTATCTATATATATATATATATAAAAACTGTCATAAGTATATATTTTAAAATATACTTTATTACATCTAAACGTATGTATGTTTGTATATCATTAACATTATAAATATATATATATAAACTTTATAGTAAATAACTATCTAATTAATTACATTATTTGTAATTGTTTTGTGTATGTGAAGAAAGAAATACAATTGAAAAAGAAAAATGTTTGAAATAACAAACAAAAAATAAAATAAAAAAATTTTAAAAATATATAAAAAAAAAATTTCTTGGGTTTTTATTTGCAAATTTAAGGATTCTGTAGAAATATTCTATTCTAAGTGTAAAATTGTTTTTTTGTTTCTAATTCGGGGTCAAAGAAAATATTGAAAAAAACAGGTTGTTTCATATTAACCCAGTACATTTGTTTTTATTTAAAGTTAAAATCGTCCTTCACCATCTTAACAAAAATTGTTTTTATCTATTAGATTTCATCTCAGAAACGTGTTTGGAAATACATGTATTCCTGGAAATAAAATAAAAAAAGTTAGAAATAGAGTTTGAACATAATTCGTTTGTGTGATCAAATAATCGCTTTCTTGGATGAGAACATAAAATCGGCAGTAACTTCGTTAAAACACGAATAAATTGAAAAAGACCTTCAATTTGTATTCGAGTTCAGTTCTAGTTTAGTTCTAGTTCAGTTTTAGTTCAGTTCTAGTTCACTTCAGTGAACTAGTTCTGTTCTAGTTCTGTTCTTGTTCTGTTCTTGTTCTGTTCTAGTTCTGTTCTAGTTCTGTTCTAGTTCTGTTCTAGTTCTGTTCTAGTTCTGTTCTAGTTCTGTTCTAGTTCTGTTCTGTTCTAGTTCTGTTCTAGTTCTGTTCTAGTTCTGTTCTAGTTCTGTTCTAGTTCTGTTCCAGTTCTGTTCTAGTTCTGTTCTAGTTCTGTTCTGGTTCTGTTCTAGTTCTGTTCTAGTTCTGTTCTAATTCTAGTTCTGTTCTAGTTCTGTTCTAGTTCTGTTCTAGTTCTGTTCTAGTTCTGTTCTAGTTCTGTTCTAGTTCTGTTCTAGTTCTGTTCTAGTTCTGTTCTGTTCTAGTTCTGTTCTAGTTCTGTTCTAGTTCTGTTCTAGTTCAGTTCTGTTCTAGTTCTGTTAGTTCTGTTCTGTTCTAGTTCTGTTCTAGTTCTGTTCTAGTTCTGTTCTAGTTCTGTTCTAGTTCTGTTGTAGTTCTGTTCTAGTTCTGTTCTAGTTCTGTTCTAGTTCTGTTCTAGTTCTGTTCTAGTTCTGTTCTATTTCTGTTCTAGTTCTGTTCTAGTTCTGTTCTAGTTCTGTTCTAGTTCTGTTCTAGTTCTGTTCTAGTTCTGTTCTAGTTCTGTTCTAGTTCTGTTCTAGTTCTGTTCTAGTTCTGTTCTAGTTCTGTTCTAGTTCTGTTCTAGTTCTGTTCTAGTTCTGTTCTAGTTCTGTTCTAGTTCTGTTCTAGTTCTGTTCCTGTTCTGTTCCTGTTCTAGTTCTGTTCTAGTTCTGTTCTAGTTCTGTTCTAGTTCTGTTCTAGTTCTGTTCTAGTTCTGTTCTAGTTCTGTTCTAGTTCTGTTCTAGTTCTGTTCTAGTTCTGTTCTAGTTCTGTTCTAGTTCTGTTCTAGTTCTGTTCTAGTTCTGTTCTAGTTCTGTTCTAGTTCTGTTCTAGTTCTGTTCTAGTTCTGTTCTAGTTCTGTTCTAGTTCTGTTCTAGTTCTGTTCTAGTTCTGTTCTAGTTCTGTTCTAGTTCTGTTCTAGTTCTGTTCTAGTTCTGTTCTAGTTCTGTTCTAGTTCTGTTCTAGTTCTGTTCTAGTTCTGTTCTAGTTCTGTTCTAGTTCTGTTCTAGTTCTGTTCTAGTTCTGTTCTAGTTCTGTTCTAGTTCTGTTCTAGTTCTGTTCTAGTTCTGTTCTGTTCTAGTTCTGTTCTAGTTCTGTTCTGTTCTGTTCTAGTTCTGTTCTAGTTCTAGTTTTGTTCTATTTCTCTTCAAGTTCTGACTGTTGGTCGATCCGAATTAGAACCCTTTTGATTTGAAAAGACCCCTATTTGTGGTCTGTCTTATTCTCTATAAAAATACAAAATCGGCTCTCAATTTCAGATCACATAAAATCTTACCTAAGTAGTTTGGTTAAAACTTCTATAAACGAGAAAAGTGAGCCGATATCTGATTTTATATTTTAACAACAAAATAGATGTTTTGATCGAAAACATAAAATTGGTTTTAACTAGAAAATGGGCCTTAATATGTGATCAATCTTAATAAAAAATGTTTTAATAATATTACCAAAAGAAAAGCTGCTCCCAATATTAATGCTCTTTCTTTAGCGTTTAACTTGGAATCACTATAATATATATTTGTTGTATATTGAGATTTGCCTGCCAACCATTTGCGATCAATAGATGCCCTTAAGTCGCCACCCGAGTGTATCTAAAAAATAAAATATTTAAAAGTGAATTTATAAAGTAAAGTTCAAAATATCGAAAATTTGCCGACAATGGACTTACTTTAAAATATGTTTCTTTAGGTACACAAAAACAACAGAAACCAGAATTTGAGGGACCTTCGATGCAAAATATGGGCGAATTCGTCGCACCATCCTCTATATAAAACTCCGGCACTGTTATTGTGGGAGATTGTACAATACGTCCCAATATATTACCCGGTGGTATCCATACCTCCAAACTTTTCGGTTGACAACACATAAAACCTAAAGATAATTTCTTGTGAAATACCATTGCTTCCTGATAGGTTTTATCGATGACATGCATTTGAAAGGGACGAGCAGAGCCCCAAATTAAACGATTTTTCTCGGTCGAATATTCTGAAGCAGCATATATGGCATCGCCTAAAGGTGAACGGACAACAAAACGATTCTCCGAGGATACAGATGTGAGCGCTTGATAATAAATTTATTTGTTTAACAAAATAAAATTGTTTATAAGTTGTTGGTCTACTTACAGTCATTCAATTCAAAAGTTTGTTCTATATGCACCGAGGGTAGGTCTACTAAAAAACTGTAACCTGTTAAAGGCACATAAGTAGATCCGATTCTGGCATTTTGTTCTACAGTCGAAACTGGTAAGGGTATGCGTGAAGATCCTTTTGAAGAAATGATTTGTAATTAGTTTTAGATTTTTCTCAAACTTTTTTTAATATTTACCTCTGGGTTGGGTTGTTATACTAACTGGTCCGTCTAAAACTAAAAATTTATTTTAAAATATATTAAGAAGACTTTGTGTAGATATAACATTTATATAGCATTAAGTATTTTAAAAACTATTGATCAAAATTTTGATATTACTTTATTCGAAATCGTTGCTACTTGAACCGGTTAAAACATTGATTAATATATTGAAATTGTTTAAAATATTATAACTTTCAAAAAATATCTACTAATAAGTAATATTTAATAATTTGCCATGTTACAAACATCATGGTGAAATTGATACTCAACCTTAAACCTATAGCTATAGTAGAGCGATAAGATATTGAAATGTTTTGATATAAAGCCATAGGAATTTTAATACATAATATTACGCACCTATGTAAAGTTAAAGTTAAGTTGTGGTGCAATAATTCACTGCTTTAAATTAGTTAAAAAAAAAATACATTTAAATTTAGCTCTAAAGGATCCAGTTAATAAAATTGATCATTTAAAAACTCTAATATTTCAATTCTAAAAAAAAAATGAAAGATAAAGTTATTCCACTTGTATTGTCATAAGTGTTAACTGATATCAGCAAACTTAATTTATCTTTATGTTTATTGTAGAAAATGAATCATTATCATCGCCATTATAAAATCTAATTAGACGCGTTTTAAAAAACACACCTCTTGGTTCTGATCTCGTTTGTTGGGCCACACGTATTTCACTGTCATATTGTAAATTGCGTACCGCATCATTTTGCAACATTTTTTCTAAATTTAAATATAAGTGGCGTTTAAAATGGGAAATAAGTTTTAATAATAATATGAAGTGTTCTCTAAACGCTTTCAATTGGTAAACTAATTTATTATCTTGTCCTCAGGTGCCTATGAGCTTCAGTTATTATTTTACTCTTCGTTATTTTTTATATTTTGATAACGCCCGTTGTTTTACTTATAGGCCATATCGATTAATGCTCAATATTTTTGCTAGTTATTAAGTTTATTATTGTTTTGTTCTCAAAATAAAACCTTATCTATATAAAAACGTATATCGTTTTCCACTAATTCCTATAGATAGTGTCATGCATTTGTGGTAAGAGCTATATTGGACATATACTATATAAAACTTATCAATGAAGATTGACCGACCAAGCCTGTTATGTGACACCCTACAACATTGTATTATATCTAGTACTGAGCTAGAACTAAAATTAGAACTGAATTTCAACTCAATTAGAACTGAACTAGAACTGAACTAGAACTGAACTAGAACGAACTAGAACTGAACTAGAACTGAACTAGAACTGAACTAGAACTGAACTAGAACTGAACTAGAACTGAACTAGAACTGAACTAGAACTGAACTAGAACTGAACTAGAACTGAACTAGAACTGAACTAGAACTGAACTAGAACTGAACTAGAACTGAACTAGAACTGAACTAGAACTGAACTAGAAACTGAACTAGAACTGAACTAGAACTGAACTAGAACTGTACTAGAACTGAACTAGAACTGAACTAGAACTGAACTAGAACTGACTAGAAACTGAACTAGAACTGAACTAGAACTGAACTAAAACTGAACTAAAACTGAACTAAAACTGAACTAGAACTGAACTAGAACTAAACGAGAACTGAACTAGAGCTAAACTAGAACTGTACTATAACTGAACTAGACCTGAAATAGAACTGAAACTAGATCTGAAATAGAACTGAACTAGAACTGAACTAGAACTGAAATAGAACTGAACTAGAACTGAACTAACGAACTAGAACTGAACTAGAACTGAACTAGAACTGAACTAGAACTGAACTAGAACTGAACTAGAACTGAACTAGAACTGAACTAGAACTAACGAACTAGAACTGAACTAGAACTGAACTAGAACTGAACTAGAACTGAACTAGAACTGAACTAGAACTGAACTAGAACTGAACTAGAACTGAACTAGAACTGAACTAGAACTGGAACTAGAACTGAACTAGAACTGAACTAGAACTGAACTAGAACTGAACTAGAACTGAACTAGAACTGAACTAGAACTGAACTAGAACTGAACTAGAACTGAACTAGAACTGACTAGAACTGAAACTAGAACTGAACTAGAACTGACTAGAACTGAACTAGAACTGAACTAGAACTGAACTAGAACTGAACTAGAACTGAACTAGACTGAACTAAGAAAACTGAACTAGAACTGAACTAGAACTGAACTAGAACTGAACTAGAACTGAACTAGAACTGAAACTAGAACTGAACTAGAAACTGAACTAGAACTGAACTAGAACTGAACTAGAACTGACTAGAACTGAACTAGAACTGAACTAGAACTGAACTAGAACTGAACTAGAACTGAACTAGAACTGAACTAGAACTGAACTAGAACTGAACTAGAACTGAACTAGAACTGAACTAGAACTGAACTAGAACTGAACTAGAACTGAACTAGAACTGAACTAGAACTGAACTAGAACTGAACTAGAACTGAACTAGAACTGAACTAGAACTGAACTAGAACTGAACTAGAACTGAACTAGAAACTGAACTAGAACTGAACTAGAACTGAACTAGAACTGAACTAGAACTGAACTAGAACTGAACTAGAACTGAACTAGAACTGAACTAGAACTGAACTAGAACTGAAACTAGAACTGAACTAGAACTGAACTAGAACTGAACTAGAACTGAACTAGAACTGAACTAGAACTGAACTAGAACTGAACTAGAACTGAACTAGAACTGAACTAGAGCTGAACTAGAACTGAATTAGCTCTGGAATAATTACATACTATAAAAAACTTAAAAATGTTTGCATAATTCTTTTAACGTTTTAATTTAAATAGCAAAAGCTGTGTTTAGTAGGTAGGTAATACCATCAGAATCATCTGGCAATGTTATTTATAAATTCTTCTTCTTAGCAAAAAACAGCTGTCTTTATTTTTTTTTTCCTATTGTCATCAAATTGTAAAAAATAGCTAAAAAAAACTTTTTTTTGCTTAATTATTGTAGAAATTATTTACGCAGCCGCATTAGTTAAAAGTGAAATTAAGAAGAGATAATAAACAAATTAAACTAAATAATATTTTAATAAATAAAATTCATAATTTCAGTTAATAGTGAAGAAATTTCGCGTTCATGTTTAAGGCGTTTGTTCAGTGTTTGTGTGGACAAGAAATAGTATAAAAGGTAAATATTAAAATAAATATTTCACAAAAATTTAAAAATAAATAAAAATAAGAGTATTTTCAGCCTTATTAGAATTAAGTGTTGTTTACGAGAGAGGGTAGTTTTTTATATTTTTGTTTGGATACGTGCATATGGATGTATGCTGTTGGTCTAATTTAAAATATTAACCCTCAAATGTTTATTTGTTTAAAATTGATATATGTATGAATGAGATTCAAATTACCGATATCCTGCAATCAGATAAAGTGTGATTTAATTTTGCTTTTTTGATAGGCAAAAACTGTTTCTCACCGAAAGGGAAAATGTAATTAACAACTTTCGTACTATGTGATATAGGTTCAGCTTGTTTTATAATGATCTGCTTAGACTAGAATGAAAAGAAAAGGATCGAGCAGTTTCTCTACCATTATGCTGAAAAGGTATAGTAATAAAGATGAAGGAACACTTTTTGTGCACTTTCTAGGTATCTGTTCAGCTTTGTCAGTCAATTTGACAGTCAATAGTTGTTCGATATAGAAAATTTATCGAAAGTCCAATTGGTTGTTAAAACTTATGGTTTTAAGGAATATTTAAAATTTCAATATTCATTCAAAATGATAAGTGTTTCAGGATTGTAACGAAAATTATAAAAATGAATACATTTTGTACACCAGAGGGTTAAATTCAAACATATGTATGAATAATAACAGGAAGTAGAGGGAGTTAGCGCAATATGTCGTCTCCCCATTTCATTTCCAGCATAACATAAAATGTTTAAAGTTATTTTGAGAACATCTACAACGGTATTTTTAGTTTCGGAGAATAAATAGTCGTGTCAACAACACAATAAATTAAAAAATAAAAAAACTATTCTTAACTAAAGCAGACAAATCTAAAGAAATACTTATATGTATATAATCGATTAAAGTGCAATTTATAGTGCAAATAAAATAAAAACTGATACCAAAATAGATTTCTTTTTTTAACGCAAATTGTTTTCTACGTATCGTGATTTGTTTTCGTATAGGAAAAAAACTCTCCAAATTTTTCACTACTCCCCTTTGCATCACTCTTGTATAGAGCAAATCAAAACGAAATGGAGGGTTGTTTTTAAAGAGCTCACAAAATAATAAAAGAACAAAAGACAAAAAAAATACCTTCAAATGACAGACATTTGGTAACCATACTCCAATAAGGAAAAGAAAGAAATAACAGTAAATAGAAAATCCATGAAAACTTGTAATATTTTTAAAATAAAGTTAAAATTTATAAAAATACACAATCAAAAGAAAAACGCGTAGAAATTGTTTGTTTTTAGTTATTGGTCATGTCGTTGGAGGATCCCTTCTTTGTGGTGAAAGAGTGTGTATAATATTTATATTTATTTCCCTAAAAACACTTACATACATACTATAATGATTAATAAATAATTTTTTGTGTCATATATAATTTTAGTGAAGTTTTTAAAGCTTTAAATAAGACTAGAGGTCTATATTTACGTTGGCGTGAACTCGGTGAAAATTGCAATAGTGCTGAAGCTGAATGGACCACAAATGAATTGAGGAATTCATTACGTAGTATTGAATGGGACTTGGAAGATTTAGAAGATACAATTAATATCCTTTTTTAACAACAAATTACTTATTTCTTTTTTTTTTTTTTCTTTGCAAAATATCAATAGCGCTTAATGTGGGGGTTTGTAAAAATGATGCCATTTCAAGAAATGGAAAATAGTTGAATATATGTGAAAAATCAATTTTCATGTTTTTATCATCACAACTGCAAAATTCGCATTAGTTATTTTTTTATTTGTATGTTTTTTGCAAGTTTTGTTTGATTTCTTGTTTCGTGTGGTAGTGTTTCAGATGGTGTTATGATAAAATTTAGAAATAGGAATATGTTATATGCATACAACAATTTTGTTTAGAAATAGTACTAAACTAGAAGTGAACTAAAACTGAACTAGCTGAACTAGAACTGTACAAGAACTGAACAAGAATTGAGCTAGAACTGAACTAGATCTGAACTAGAAATGAACTAGAAGGGACCTAAAACTGAACTTGAGTTGAACTAGAACTAAACAACAACAGAGTTAGAACTGGACTAAAACTGAACTAGAACTGAACTAGAACTGAACTAGAACTGAACTAGAACTGAACTAGAACTGAACTAGAACTGAACTAGAACTGAACTAGAACTGACTAGAAACTGAACTGAACTAGAAAACTGAACTAGAACTGAACTAGAGGCATCAGTTGTTAAGTCAAACGGTTTTTTATAGTCAGGATAAAGTACACATAACATCCTCGGATGCTAAAACCTCCTTAAGTCTGAACTGAACTAGAACTGAACTAGAACTGAACTAGAACTGAACTAGAACTGAACTAAACTGAACTAGAACCTAACTAGAACTGAACTAGAACTGAACTAGAACTGAACTAGAACTGAACTAGAACTGAACTAGAATGAACTAGAACTGACTAGAACTGAACTAGAACCTGAACTAGAACTGAACTAGAACTGAACTAGAACTGAACTAGAACTGAACTAGAACTGAACTAGAACTGAAACTAGAACTGAACTAGAACTGACTAGAACTGAACTAGAACTGAACTAGAACTGAACTAGAACTGAACTAGAACTGAACTAGAACTGAACTAGAACTGAACTAGAACTGAACTAGAACGAACTAGAACTGACA